GGAGGATCAGATTTGACCTTTGGGCTGTCGCCTGCCAACCCTTATTCTATGCCATCAACCGAAGGAGACACGTGAATCTGCCTGAGAGCTAGTTCCTCAGGAGGGTGTGGATTTCTGTTGAAGGGGAAAAGGAGCATGAGTCTACTGTGGGAATTCATTTCAAGCCACACTGAGAATAGGAAAAGTGATTTTGGACTCTGGCCGGAGGACATGTCATTCTGCCCTTTACTAGAAGTGGGGGGGGGATGGAACTTTGTTCTTGGGGATAAAAATGATTTGAGGGCCATTTCCTTCAGTGGCATATACTCTCATTCTCATGATTCCACTGGAAAATCTGCTCAACTCTCCAGTGTTTGTTGAAAAAATATGCTTGTTTCCTGCATCCCCTCACCGACTTCTCTCCAAGTTCAGAGGCAAGCTTACCAGTTAAGCCTAGATGAAGGGAAGAGCTCATGCCTATCTTTTCCCTTTTGGGGGTGTTCTGCTCAAGGGCTAGGTCTGCTCTCCTCCCACTGTTATTCCGCTTCTGGAAAGCACATCTGAAGTGGGCCTAAGGTCTGTTTTCTAAAGACAGGTCTCGAAGGCTGTTACCCTCTGTTCTCACTTTTGGGAGCTGGTGGTTATGAAAAGCAGCAGTATCTCCTCCACCTGGGTGGGGCACTGCAGTCCCAGATTCTCCCATAGTTGGGTCATCTCAAGGTTCAGGCTTCAAGGGATAGCAGAAAGTTTGTTGACATGGGTCGAAGTCACGTCCTTCCATTAGCACAAATTAGCATTACTGCTACTTATAATAAAGGTGATATTTGATTTTCCACATGACTCAGGGTAAGATAAGAGTTAACACAGCAGGTCTGGGGGCTTACTACCTGTATATCCCCAAGAGAACCAAGATGGACCCTTCACCTTCCCCCAGGGAATGTGGCCTCCTGCATGTTCTTTGTGTTAGTGGTTGATGATTTTGTTCTATTATATATACCTGGAGTAATGGACCATGACACACTGGTTTGTTAAATTGCTTTGTATGAACATCGATATTGATGACATGTACCTGGTCTTATTGTTGGGGTCCTGTTTCCATTGTTATGGCTGGTTGTGTAGCGGTGGTTGCCTAGCATGATATTGCTATGTGACCAGTCGCCACGTAAAGGCCTCAGACCCTGAGACTCAAAAGGGCATCCCTAGGTAGAGACCTTCCACACATGTCCCTAAAGTTCATTGCTAGAGAGCAGTTACTCTGATGTGTCCTTGGACAAGAAAGAATGTCAGAAGACTGCGCTGGGCTTGTATGGACTCCATCAATGCCTCCATCTTTTTCTGGCCTCTTTTACTCTGCATCCTTGGCTGTAATAAATCTTAGCTATGAGTACAACCTGCTACTGAGTCTTGTAAGTCTTTCTGAAGAATCACCCAATAAAATACTCCTATATTTCAACAATTTAAAATTCAGAGAATGGGGCTGGGACTAGGGTGTAAAATTTAAGTGATGCCAGGAACTCTGTGATCAAGATAAATAATATTTTAACAACTACATGAAAAAGTATTAAAAATGAATGCAAAAATCCCTGAAGAAGAAAACATCAAAAATTCAAATAAAGACAGGATTCCACCCTAGACTTGCAATTTCCTGCCTCACTTGACTCACCCTAATCCCTGCCCTGGAGAAATGAGGCACCCAAGTAATTACAACCTTTCAGTTGCTAAAGCCAAGAGCAGCACCTTTGGCAATGGTGCTAAAGGTTGCTAAATGGTGGCAGTTGCTCCACTTCCCTCACTCAAGTCTTCCCTCCTCCAGTCAATTAATCTTTGCTGATGTATCAGCTGCTATGGGGCTGATATGTAACACCTGTTAGGGATCCGCAGTCTCTCAAAACCTTTATTTCTAAACTTGTATTTATTTATACATTTTCAGGAAGATAAGTGTACAGGTAGATCCTGGAGCTCTAAGATCAACTACACTTTATAGTGTGTACAAAGTCCAGTGCTAGGCAGCTTATATACATTATTGCGAATTTTCGTGACAACCATTTAAAACACATGATAGAGTCACTATTTTGCAATGTAGGAAACTGAACCTCATGGTGGTTAAGGCACAATGCCAACATCACCCACTAGTAAGAGGCGGACATGGGGTTAACCTACAGCTACCTGACTCCAGAGATGGCAAAAACTAGCTGCAGACACTCTTGGCAGGCAGAGGAGTGGAGATGGGGGATGGGGTGGTCAAGTACTGTTTTTTATGAACTTGAGCAGCGGCATTTGGGAGGGTGATTTTCCAGGGACCACCATCTTTCTCACTTCCTACCGTCTCACCTACTGTCTCTGCCTGACCCTTGGAGACACTGAGGTTGTGACCACTGCTTCCAACACTGTCCTTCTTTTAGCACACAATGGTGCCACCTTCTTGGGATTCTTTTCACCTCTGTACCTACTTCAAGGAGGGTACTTGCTGGAAACGACTTCCATGACCTCCGCCAGAGTCCTGCACTTCACAAGCATAAGGGCAAGAGTATCCTCCCAATTAATATGAGAACTCAGTTCTTTTCTTAATTATTCATTTGTGAATAATTCCTTATTAGCATCTATGTACCCATATACCATCACTCTCATGAGTGGACTGAAATGCTTTGGGAAGCCATTTTATTCTCATATCAAAGAATGAAAGATGGAACCAACTGTTGCCAGTGGTTTCACCTTTAAGCAGTTGGCCAAGGCTTGCAAAGTCTTTGTTACTCTACCCTTCCCCTACTCCACAGACATACACTAACTTTGATCTGGAACCAAAGTTATTAACCAAGGGGATCCAATGATGGGCTTTAGAGGCTCACTGAATACCCTAATATTATATACATTTTTCAGTTTATGTGCATTTTTCTGAAATTGTTTATTGTCTTTATTGGATTTTAAGAGGGTCTATAGACCAACTTTATGAACTACTTATAATAAAGTACATTATAGTATGCCGGTTACAAAAACCAGCTAAAGTTTTGGATGCCCCACATGGAAGGCACAATAGGAATGCATTTAAAAAATTTTTATCCACAGTTAATCTTACTGGAACATGATGTGAGGTCCCAGATAAAAATGCTAAGGAACATATCAGGAAGGAACAAACCCACCTTATATATATATATTACCTGGAATTTGCTTTGGCTGTCCTGTGCTCTACAACTGTGAAACAATTGCAGCTGTTGTTTACAGTGCATCTCTGCCAGATGTTCCTCCAGCCTCTGCAGGAAAGCTTCCAGCACTGGGGAATGCACACTGTGTACTATGGCCCTAGGTCATGGTTATGCAGCTTCATTTGTTTTAGTTTTTTTTAAGTTTTGTTTACATTCTATATATCTTAACAATATATGAAACGAGCTAGAATCAAGAGCCAGACAGAATAACAAAACCACAAAAGGATGACACCATGTGGGGATGGTAGTTTGGGAATGCCAGGGAACTGGCAAAGGGAGGATACTGTATTTGAGCAGTGGAGGTAATCCTGAGATGCTTGGCAGCAATGGAACAAGAGAAACACAAGGGATTCCCTAAGTCTTCTGATCAAATGCAAGGGAGCAGAGCATATTTTCAAGGGAGGCCAAGACTCTCCAAAGTCTGTGTCTCAGGAGGAACTATCATCAGGCTTTTGTACAAGGCACATTTAAAAGGCTTAATGGACAGTGGCTCTTTGCCAGGGGATAGAGGGCTGGAGCAAAATGAAAAGCAGGCAATCAAGATGTGGTGGGTGGAATGGACTTCCAAAGAAGAAAACATCCTTATTTCTGAGCTAGAAGAGGAGAAGATAATAAAAGATGACAAATAAAGAATGTGATGTGTAGGTGGAGGAGGTTGAGGGTGCATATGTTAAACAGCTTCCATTTTCAAGTAAAAACTTAAGAGAGGAAATAGGTAGCCTTGTTTTTTTGTAAATATTATTTAAATCTATTGCACCAATTATATCACAGCAAGCACATACGAACAAGCAGAAGCTGAATATTAAATTCTACAGCTAGCATATCAAGGGCTTTCATTCTTTATATTGCAGACAATCTTTACAAAGTTTAAGCATGATTTTTTAAACATATATATTCCTCATAACACTTTTTAATCGCATACTATATCATTGGATAGATGCATCATAAATCAATTAGACATTCTACTAAAAAAAAGGAATTTAGCTTGCCTCCATATTTTATTAGAAATAATACTACAATTACTATACACTTAGCTGCTTATTTTTTCTTGAGGTATAGCTGTAGCAAAAGTTCCCCAGAGTGGAATGAATCGTTGTGTGAAAGGGAATTAAATATTTCTCTTAAGTGTGTTGCAAAACAACCTTTCATAAGGTACATACCATTGTCAATGCTCCCAGCCATATATGTTTCCATTGAAAATTACCAGTTTCGCCACACGCCAAGTATTCTGGACATTTTATTTCATTAATCTTCAAGATAACAACTATCGTACCGTACTGAGCACTTAAGGTATGTCAGGGTGGGTCAAAAAACTTTAGTCAACGAGCTCACGTTTTTACGACAGTGAAACTAAGATACAAAGAGGTTGCTAAGGAAACTGCTAGGAAATGGCAGATCTGGTATTTGAACCAAGGCAATCTGAATCCAAACCTGCATGGTCAACTATTACACTACATTGCTTTGTGATGGTTTTTGATTCATGTTTCCCCCAAGTGTTGTTAACAACTTGTATACATTTGTGTGAGAATTTTATCATATCCTTTTTTGTAAAGTCCTTTCTAAGTGCTTCTGACACAGACAGAGATAATAGAGGGCTATATCTTATGGATTTGGACCTCAGATGGTCTGAATGGGAATATTTATTATAATTCATGCATTTTTTACTCTTTGCCAATATGTAAAATTCAGAAATCAAGAATTACATTGCTAAGGATTACAAATAAATGCAATTGTTTCATCCATCCAGGATAACCCAATGTTTTTTAGACTCTGATGGTTTTATAATCTATTACAATTCTGCCAGTTACCATGGAAACATACCTTTTTGGCTCGCTTGAACATCTGAAATGTGGGTATTGCTCTGATATTATAAGTTTGGGCCAAGTCCTGGGAAAGAAAAGAAATGGCATGAAGTCACAGTTTTGATCTTCTCTCCCTGAACCAAGTACGGTACTTGGTGACTTCTCAGGAGGCATGTCTGAAAGCTTAGGTACAGCTGACACTTTACAGGTTCTCCTGTCAAGAACTTTTCTAACATATCCTCAAAGCCTCCAGGGATGTTGCAATAGAAGATGCCTGTTCCCAGCATCCCTGAGCTTTCTCACTCCAGAGCTCTAGAAGAGGGGTGAGAGATGAAGACCAAAACAGAATGAAGTACTCAATGAGTTCTATTTAAAAGAGCACGTGAAAGATTGCAGAGGGGCCTTAGTGGAACCCAACATGGAGAGAAAACATTGCAAAAAAAAAATTTAGAAAGAGTAAAGGTATCTTTATAACTCACACTTGAGACAGTGGGGTGATACAGTAAGGCTTACATGTTTCTTTTTCATTTTAAGCCTTATTCCTCTTCACTTGCCATCTTTGTGAAAAATTTGAAGCCAAAAGAATAGAAAAAATTTAAAATTTTGATTGTTTTAATCCATTACAATCTGCTTTCAATTGTGTTTTTCTTTATCTTGTTTAGGAGTTAAAAGAAAACTAGCCACCCATAGGATCAATAGAATTGGACTTTTCTCTGTAGTATACTTATCACTTATCTTCCCCAGCCACATAGAACACACACACACATACACGCACATGCACACACACACACACACACAAATTATAATTTTTCATATGACAACAATGACAACAACTAATACATAAATTCCTACTATGAAATAAAATTGTGCATTTTATTTCACCTTAAAAGACAAAGAGTGATAATCAAAATGGCAAACAATAATGTATTGGTGAGGATATGGAGAAATCAGAATGCTCATGCATTGCTAGTAGGAATGTAAAATGGTGCAGCCACTTTAGAAAACTTTAGAAAACAGTTTGTCAGTTCCTCAAAAAGTTAAACATAGAGTTACCATACGACCCAACAATTCTACTCCTTGATATATACCCAAGAGAAATGAAAACATTAAAGAGCAGAATGGGTGCATAACAGATTTTTTGTTATTCTAAAGCTCCAATTCAATCTAATGTATACATAGGGTGCAAGTTATTGCTATTTTCCTTATTATGCATGAACAAAGGTTAGGAAGAATCATTTTGTAGACATACTGTGTGTGTTAATGAGGCACAGTTTGATTGAGGACATGAGGCTGATTATTTTGGGGGTGGGGGGTAAGGTGAAGAAGGAAAGCTCTGGGGACAGGAAAGAAAATGTCCTGGAATTTCCTGTGATGTTGAAAAAACTCCCACAAAAAGCACAATGCACAGCAAGTGGAAAACAAGATATATTAACATGTCTGTGATGCATGAGTCAGAAACTGATTAATAAGCTGTTACAAGGGTGAAAATCGTTTTTCATCTTGGACCCAACTCCACCCAACTGGTGTTGTCTGCCTCAAGCAACTCTGTTGAGCAGATTTCCGGGGCAGAGTCCAAAGCAAGTGGTGAAGAATGTTGGGATTGATTAGTGAAGGTTGCCATAGCGTGGGAGGGAGGGCAGAGGAGCAGTGAGACAGCCATGTATTCGCTGCCTGTTTTTTTGTTTGTTTGTTTGTTTTTTCTTTTTTAACTAATACAAAACATACAAGATCATTGTGAAGGATTTTAATAGAGTTTATCAGAAAAAGTCGTGAAATTCTACTTGACTCAAATGGATCATAATCATTGAGACATTGCCTTCAGATTTTCTCACCTACACGGAAAGATTGAAGATGCTTACCTGAGACTCGTCCACATCCACGTTAGCAAACATTACATTTTGGTATTGTAGAGTCATTTCCTTAAAAAGAAAAGAATACAAATTATTCCCTATTACCTTAGTGTCCTTGTTAAATTACACACTGGAAGTATCCTTTGGCAAAAACAATAAGGTTGTTAAAGAGAGCTAAGCATCATTTGGCGTTTTCACTGCTGCCTAGAACTTGAAGCACCAAAGCCAAATGTCAGATGATGCCAAGGTCAAGCAAAGGTCAATGGCAGAACCAGCGTCCAAGGAACCCAACTGAAGATTAGAGTTTCAAAGTTGGACATAAAACACAAAGTAAAGAAATGATGCAATGAATGTGGTGGACTCAGACTTACCTGTGGGATGGAGGAAGAGATAGTGGCTTCTTCCTGGTGGGGAGTCTGTCTTTAGTGGTCTTCAAAATACAGACATCTCTGAACCAAAAACTCAAACTCTGCCTTTACCTTCTCCTCTTGCCACACTTTTTGGGAGGTGGTGGTGGTAGAAGGCTCTTATGGCTGAAGTGATAATAAAAATATTTGTGCTAACCATTAGCCTAATTGCTTTCTGCCCCCATTGCCATCTTTCTGTGCTTTACTGTGTATTGAAACTGGGTTTTCCAGGATCCTTTGTCAGCTGTCTTCCAGTTAGGTGCTGCCAGTGGGAAGCATTTACAGGAAAATTGAATGTGGGAGGCCGGAAGAAGCAATTTTCTTCTGCTTCTCTTTTGTTCTGGAAGCATCTTTGGCAGTGGAGGTGAATAATGGTGTTAGTAATGCGCCTGGGGGTTCGTGATTGCAGCAGCAGCAACAGCCTGCAAATGTCATCTCCTGGGTTTTATTTATATTTTTCAGACAGCTGTGTTCTTACTTTAAGGATATTTAGTAGCATATTGATTTGTTTGCTTTTACATCATATTTCAAGCATATCCAGTGATCTATTCCAAATGAGACTCCTCTCTCTGATGTAGGATATTCTGAGCTTGGCCAAGTGGAGACAGTAACAGATGCAGCTGTCACCAGGGGCTGCTCTCGCAGAGAAGCAGGAGAGACACGACATGGAGTGAGTAGGGTTCTTTCCAGTTGTTTTTCCATGGATAGTGACTGAAGTGGGGGTTCCTTCTTCAGAGACTAATCAAGATGATGAAATTGGAGGATAATAGACACAAAAGCCTTTGGAATTTCAGACAAAAAAAGAAAAAAGATGCTGATTTTCATTGGAAGCATATCTATGTGTAGCAGGAAAATGGTGTCACCCAAGAACTCTTGGGCAATTGACTTGTACTTTTCAAGTTTGAATATATAAGGATGTTCCCCAGTAGGAGTCATGGGAAAGGATTTGACCTGTGTGGACACCTAATTCCCAGGATCTGTTCTATTTATGAAGTTTTCAGAGCCTCCCAAGTCTGCCAGGAAATGCACAGGGACGTGGCAGTTATTTCTGTAGCAAGTAGTAGCCAGTTGATATGGTACAGACATGGGTTTCTTGCTAGGTTGGAGTTCCTTACTGGGCATTGTCTTCCTTTGCTATCCCCACTCTATCCATCTAGGACTCCCCTCCCCCCAACAACAACTCTTTCTTCTGCTCTTCCTCATATATAATCTGTTACTGTTGGGTCACCTATTCTGTTGATCTTAATTATAAAATGTCTCCTGAATTTGATCTTTTCTTTTTCCCCCCAAAACCACCAAATCTCCAAAACTGAACTTGTTCATCTTGGGTTACTGGCCTTCAGTCTTTCTAATCCATCCTTAAACAACACTGCCAAAAGTATTTTCTAAAACCCACTCATGATCATGGTAAAACCCTTCTTAAAATTCTTCTGACTCTACAGCAACTCATTAAGTTATAACACAAGGTCCTTCCTGATCTGGCCTCAGCTTCCTTTTTGCAGCTCATTTGTTGCCACTTCCACTGTGTATCCTGTAAGTTAGCCTCACAAAATAGTACTTGCCTTTGCATGATCACATCATGCAATTTCTCAACAAATTTACAACCTTTCCTTTTCCAGAAATGCTCTTTCTGGGTTTCTATGCCTGGTGACCTTTTTAGCCCAGGGTCAGCACACCCTGTAAACCAAAGCCAGCTCTCCACATAGTCTTGTAAATAAAGTTTTATTGAAATACAGCATACCTATTCATTTGTGTATGGCCAATGGCTGCTTCTGTGCTGTAACAGCAAAACTGAGTCGTTATGACAGAGATCATATGGCTTGCAAACCTGAAAATATTGGTTTTCTGGTGTTTTACAGAAAAAGTTTGCTGACCCCTGCTCTTGGTCATCAAGGCCTATATCAAACGGGACTGTAGAATTTACTTAAGGCTTAAAGTTTTCAATCACTTCTTAAAAATCTCATGTTCTTATAATTCACCTTTTTCCTTGTTGCAGTGCATCCTTCAGCAGAGTCTCTGTGGAGAGTAAACTTTTAGTTTTTGAGTGTCTGAAATGTCTTGAATTCTTCCCCCTCCTTGAACAACGGTTTAGTTAGCTAACTTTAATTCCACCTTCCTTCAGAGCTGGGAAAAGAAAAAAGATTCGTTGGACTCCCTTGCAGCTAGAGTTCTGGATGCACTTTTTTTTTTTACCAGTGAGGTGCATGCAGGTGAGTCTTAGAAGAAAGAAGCTACTTTTTAAATTTTTTTTTATTTGGATGCTCCTGCTGGAAAGCAAGACTTTGGGTATCGAAAGGTAGTTGTGCTGGAGGCAGGAGCAGCCAGCAGGCTTAAGGATCCAGTGTCCACACATCAGCTTCCCGGATGTCCAGAAACAGCTGTGGCAGCAGTAGCTTCCGGTTTCTGGTTCTGACTCCCTGACTGCTGCTTTGTTGGGATATATATTTTTTTCTCTCAGGGGTGGCTCCCATCTTCCCTCACTTCTGAATATGGCAAAGTTAGGATTCCTGTAGGTGGGTCCTTGGCGTTCTGATAGAGTCATTCATGGAGTCCAGGCCTGCACCCATTCATCCAGTCTTCCAGTGAACTTATAAGCATTAAATTCCTTGTATCAAAATTCTTTTCTGTCTAGTCTAACTTGGTTTCTGTTTCCTGCTTTGATCTTTGGCTGAGAAAGTGACCTAGAGCAAGTAAAGCTTTTTTCTCCAATCCCCTATGTACTTACTGTGAGTTTTCAAAAAAAATTTACATACATGAATACATTTGCTTGCAAAAGTTTAAACATTACAAGAAAAATAAAGCAAAACATGAATTTCTCCCATTCACATGCTTGCCTCAATTTTCACTCCCTTTCACAGAAAAAAAAACATTGTTTGATATGCATCCTTCTGCTCCCCTTTGTCTACATATATGTATATATATGTTTATGTATATACACACATACATATATAGTTACACACATCAGTGTCTGTTTGTATGTATCTCTGTTTTACATAAATGGGACCATACTGTTTAAAGATATATGGGTCTCCTTGATTCTTTTTAACATCTGAATAGTATTTCACAGTATGGGTGAACCAAAGTTTATTGAAAAACTATGTTTGCAATAGTCTGGATTGCAACAGAAAACAGATGGCATATTCAAATTAGGATAATTCAGGGAGGTTTATTTCCAAAGGGCTAACTATAACCAAATACAAGTTAAAGATGGATGTAGGAATAGCCACAAGAGTGTGGACATAATAGCAGCCGAGTTAGGACTTGAAGGTATGAAGGGAGGGAGAGGTTACCAAGCCTTAGATCCCACTGTCCTTTATGAAAATGCCTCTTGTTGGCTGTTGGAATCTGATCAGCTTTGACTTCATGGCATGGGAGTATATTTATACTTCTGAAGCTGTACACTGGTGATTCTCTTCAAGTTTTAAGTGTCAGAATAAAGGGCCTATCAGATATTAAAATGTCCATCTGAACAGTCTAAGAATTTTAGGCATAGAATGGATGTTGAGATGTCATATAGCCAATTTCTCTATTTGAATATAAGTTTATTTTAAATTAAAGGTCAACAGTTGTGACTGTGGTTAGAATTAATTCAGCTGGATTCAAGGGTTAAAGTAAAATTAAGTTGAAATGTTAGAAACCTCGCTGAAAGCTAAACAGAGTATTTTCATTTGTGTGGAGGAATCAAAACTTTATATTTGAAGGAATAGATTTCACAAAATTGACAGTAAATGTAAAACTTTTGCCCAATAAAGAGAAATGAAAAGAAAATGCCCTGAAGTTCTTTCTGCAGTATGTTATACCAAAAATAAATAAGTAAAATGGTGAAAACTTTTCAATGGGGCAATAGGAAAATTAACTAGATAAAACATTGTAAACACATTAAAATTATAATCTGGAGAATCTACAAAAATATGAACCAATGTGTATGTGGAAAAAGATCTGAATATAAATATATGATTATATTCTACTAAGTAGAATATTTTAGTAAAATATTTTATAAAGTAGATCAAAGATACAAAAGGAATATGTAAGACATATGATTTGTTCTCATAATAGGGCTGAAGGATGAGAGGTAGTTTCTTTTTTTACATTATAGTTAAAAACAAGTATCATGTTATCTGAAATCTATTCCAATATTTACAAAAAGAACCGTTCTGTATTCTGGAACTTTAGTAAAATGTAATTATTATGAATAATCTATTCACTTGTATAATTGTACTCTTCTGTACATATTGATGTTCCTTGCAGAATTATGCACAAACAGGAAGTATTAATCTTTTGGGTTTGGGGTGTGTACTAATTATCTAATTAGGTCTGGTATATTTTCTTCAGGCTAATCAAGATGCTTCGAAAAACTATGATTCCATAATAGTTCATAAGGGTCAAACGTTTAAGATTTTCTGAGAAAACTCTTTGGGGACTTTAAATCCTTTTAAAACTATGAAACAGAGATTGATGATACTTACTTGAACAAGAGGACAAATCTTTTTGCAAGCACCACACCATTTTGCCGAAAATTCTACCACCGCAAGTCTGCATCCAGCAGATTTCAAAAATTTTTTGAATTCATCCTGAATCAAGGACAGAAATGAGGAAGTGTGCATAATCACTGAATCTCATCAAGACTTGCCAAGGATCAAGTGACAGGTTAGTTCTTAGAAACCTTAACCAGGTGCCCCACCTCACTGTTCTCCAGGTGACGCAATCTTTCCTAAATGTTCCTGAGGTCATATATATTTATCTTTTTTTTTTATGGTTACCTTTTTTGTGTGTTTATTTACTTATTATTATTTTAAAAACTTTTTCAATTACAGTTGTCATTCAGTATTATTTTCTATTAGTTTCAGGTGTATAGCACAGTAGTTAGACATTTATATAATTTATGAAGTGATCCCTCCGATTAGTCTGGTGTGCACCTGGCACCATACATAGCTATTACAATATTATTGACTATATTCCCTATGCTGTATTTTACATTCCCATGACAATTTTGTAACTGACAATTTGTACTTTCTTAATCCCTTCTCCTGTTTCACTCAGCCCCCCCCAAGCCCCCTCCCATCTGGTAACCATCAGTTAGTTCTCTATATCTATGAATATCCCTACTTTGTTTTTTTGTTGATTTTTTTCTTTAGATTGTACATATAAGTGAGATAATATGGTATTTGTCTTTCTCTGTTTGACTTATTTCACTTAGCATAATACTCTCTAGGTATTTATCTTTGTAGGTACACACAAGTGATGATAAATCCACATACACAGTATCAAGAGTCTATTTACCAGATATGGTTGGTAATGGTTGCTTACTTCTGGGAAGAAACTGAGATTGGCTAATGAGAGATGAGGGGTGGAGGGTGAGGGTGAATAGTTGCTCATCTATATTTGATTGTTTTAAACAAGGATGTAAACACGCATTCACAGTGAAATTTAAAAGAAGAAGAACTAGTCTAACACCTTCAATCGCTTCTTGTTTTTGTTTTGTTTTTAGGGCATGATCATTTTTAAAACTATCAGCAAAACCACACATTTAAGGATTTGACCTGCTTCCTGATCAATCTCTTAAGTGACTTTTCCATCAACTGTCCTTATCTTCTAAGTAAAGTAAGGTTCTCCTTCCTGGGACTTCAAATCACTGCACCTATATTTGCTTGCTTTATGAACAGTGACTATCCTGCCTAAGTTATTTCATGCATGATTTATCTCCCCAACAAACCCCTACAGAACTCAAACCTGATTCACTCCTGTACCTCCGTGGTCCCTCACTGGCACATGATAAGAGCTCATGGAGTGTTTAGTTGATGGATGAATGATTTGCTAATATACAGTGTTCTGTTCAAGATTTATTTTTCCTTTTCCGATTGGAATTACAACCGTGATAGCTAGCTTACTCTGTGCATGGTATTCTCGCCTTTCACCTTTACAACCACCCTGTGGAGTGGGTATTATTAGTATTATCTCCATTTTACAGATGGAAAATGAAAGCTCATTGACGTTCTCCTGGTCAACCAGCTGGTGAGTGGTGTATTTGGAATTGCTAACCTAGGCAGCCTAACTCCAGGGTCCATTGCCTTAAATACTTACACAAAGTCATCTCCTGTGTTCTTCCTAGTAATGGGACGTACTTGCCCTCTCATTGGCTCCAACTGTATCTCATAGTCATCCCTTGGCCAATCAGTAAGATAGGAGATGGAGTCACTAATTGGATTAAGTCAAGCCACGCCTACCATTAGAATTAGGAATGTGGCTAATTTCATACAAATGGCATACTCTTCTTTAATAGGGGAGTCTTGACAATTAGGTTGGTTGCCCTTTGGTTTAGTTTCAAGCAGGTGAAACTGATGGCTCAAAGACGATACATTCTCTTCCTTTGCCAATGTTCCTCTAGTGTAGGAGGTAATTAACTTGTCAGAGAGCCATGCCAAGCCTCCAAGTCTCACTTGCTTCTGAAGTTATAAGGTAGATGCCATCCTCACAAGCCCCCAGCACCTTCCATGTCTCAGTAGTGGTGAGGGTATAAATTGGCCTCTTGGGACTGATTTATGAAGTGAATTTGACTTGGCTAAGTTCTCTGAAGGGAATAATCCCATAGTGTATGTATTCAATCAATATGTACCTACTACAACCTGCTCTATGCCAGGTACTGGATACACTGCTAGGACATAACTGTGGTCCAAAAAATCCCAGACTAAACACGCCCCGCCTTTATGGAGCTTACATTTTAGAGGAGGAACTGATGGGAAGATCCATGGTAAGATCAGTAAGTAAAATACGCAGTGTGTTAATGGTCGTTGCCAATAAAGCAAAAAGGGGAAAATAAAGTGGGAATAAAGGATGGGAGCTGGATTACAGATGTAGCCTGGGTGGCCAAGCTCCACCTCAATGAGAAGGAGCATTTGAATAAAGACATGAAGGAGACAACACGCCCTCAGAAGAGGCCTCTGACAAGAAGATGCAGAGGGCTTCTCAGAGGATGGGTGATGCTGTGAGATTCTAGAAAATTTTAAAAAGCAGCTCCCAAAGCATTAGCAAATGTGTGCTATATAAAACCATTTGCTTATATCAAAGTTACGTGGCAATGCTTCCTTTCAGTCTGGTCAGTCTTATTTTTCTGACTTATGTACAGCTGCATTTGGGGAAAATGTCAAAAGTCTAAATCTGAAGGAGCTGGTCGCCCAGGCCCTATGCCTTCCCCCTTCTCTCCAGCGCCTGGCCTTACTGTGGTGAAGCCTGGCATCAGAATGTCCGGATTCGAATGCCCACACTGCCCTTGAATGACGTAGGACCTTAACCTCTTTTTTAGAGGCAATTTCTTTTTTTTTTTTTTAATAAATAATTGTCCCTGGCCTATATCTGTATTTAGATTTGTTGTGGTGGTAACATGGGGCAATGGATAGGAAGTAGCTTTATAAAATACCACCTAAGGAATTGTTACTATGGGCCATCATAGTAACAATTTTCCTCCTCCATTCCAAAGGCATGTCTGGGGTTTCTGTTCTCTTTCCCAGAATAAGAGAAATATGTGAACTCTTTTACGTCCATAGATTTTCTCCAGGTACAACTGAGATAGAACCAGTGGGATCAGGTACAGAATGGGATATGTTAGGAGCCGGCCTGGATCCAGTGAGAGTCAGAGCAAGAAATGAGAATCCAGGAGGAACAAAAACGCTTTTTGATCAATTTGTCCCTAGACAGCGCCATCCCTCAAGAAATAGTATGAAAAGCAAGAATTTAAAAATCTCCCCTGGCTACAAAGCAACAGGGGAGTACTGGATGTAGGAACTAATTCTTAAAATCTGTTCTCAAGATGGTCTTTTTTGAAATATCCAATGAAGCCACATAAATACTTGCCATGTCTTTAATAATGTGCACCATGATTTACACCTGGGAATGGCTGATGAAACTCTCCTGTTGGTTCTGTTGCTTCTCTGTGACTGTCTCTTATTAACGATAGGATCCTAGTTGGAAGACAATAGTAACTTCTCTATGACATCATTAAACATGACATCTCAGAATGTAGAACTTTGGGAGATGTGGAGATAATTTCACTTTTATGCCATGACTAGTCAGTCAACATGCGGTCAGCCAAGAATCAGCCAACTGCAGAATCAATGATGTGTCTACTTTTGATCTATCACCTATTTCCATGCACCGCTTCCGCACCCCCCCCCCCCCCNTCTGCACCTAAGATAACATCTTAGGAATGTCAGTAATCCTTTTTCTGGACCAGAGCTGGAAACTGCAAAATTCCTCATTATCATGCTTATCTCCTGATTGCCATCTCTTTGTGTAAAAAAAGCTAACTGTTAGCTCTCCTGCACCCACCTATGTAAAAGAAGTCCCTGTCTCTCCAGTTTACTTTTATCCAATCCCAGAGGTGTCCCATCCTGTCGTCGTCGTCGTCGTCTTCCCCCCCACCCCCACCCCCCGCTTTGCTTTCTCTCACCCCCTTAATCTGTCACCAATGGATTTCATGTAACCATCCTTCTTTGATTTTATGTGTAAAATAAACTGCAAACTGCCATTTTGCGGAGCATTTTCTCAATCTGTTGAGATTTGCTTCCCAGCAATTGTTGACAGTTTGGTTCAAATAAACTCTTATAAAGTTTTCTCTTAGGCTGGATATTTTTCGTCAACAGGAGCAACAACAACAAATTTGAGCAATAGCAGAATTCTATAATAAAACAAAAATAGCAAAATCCTTCTTCCTGGTTTTTCCACGCTTCCAGTCAGATCCCCCAGCATGAGATCCCTGCCTTTCCTTTCTGTACGTGTTAGATAAAGCACAAAATACAACCATTTCTTGTAGAGCCATAGACCAGGTTGGTTCTTGTAGCAAATATCTGTCCGTTGCCTCCCCGCCGCACCTCTTTACTCCACTTTCCACCAAAAGTACACTGATTTTTTTATGGACAAATTCATTCCCCCTCCATTTTCTAGCAGCTATGCAGTTAGTATGGGATTAGTGTAACCCTAAACTGAGAGTTAGACCCTGATTACCTTAATCCAGCTAGCATTCCTATCTTCAGGCAGAGAGTTAATGAAGAGAGCAAGAAAGCCAGAGGAAGCAACTCCTAGCACTTATGACAGTGACTAAAATGTTCTCTGCAACCCCCCCCTCCCCCCGCCCCAATCTGGATACAAACAAGAAGATGCTGGCTGGCAGCTGTTATAAAACACACAGAATCCCTGTCTTTGTTTAAGGCCAGTATTTCAGAATGCAGGGAGAAGACAGAGAGAAAACCTGGCTTTGGTGAGTCCTTGATTCACTGGAGTAAGTGTGGCCAGAAACTCAGTCTAGGTCTGGAGTTTTCATTTCCATAGTCAGTAAATTTCCTTACAGTTTAATTGGCCGCAGTTGGGATTCCTATTTCCTTGGAAACCATTCAGGTATAATATAGAAATTTCTCCACTTGGGTCAAATTGCAAGAATTATGACTTATTATAACATCATTATTGATATTTAAAAATTTCTCACCTAAGGTCCATGATAATAGAGCAACATTTAACTTTAGGATCAAGGACATTAACTTCTGGCCTCCAGTATGTCCAGGCTCAAAATATTCATTAGTGCCCTGAAATGTCCATTACCAACAGGCATTCCGATGATCTAAATTTGCTTCCAAGCCTCCCTGTCTAAGATTTATCAAGGGAGAGCATGAAAAGAAAAGGAGCTTTGGACTTAGACAAAAGTTATTTTTCCATTTTATGACATGTGAAAGGCACTAAACTTGGATAAGATAACCTGGCTTCGGATCTGAGTGCTGCTATTGTGTGAGATATTGAGGAAATGATTGCTTATCTGTGCTTCTATTTCCTAATCTGTGAATTGGGGATAATGCTCATTTCATAGGGACATGGTGAGAATTAACAGATACCCAGACATCTAGTCAAGTGTGCACAATTCTTAGCTGAAGTCAGCAAAGGCATGCATTCCATTTTGACTTTCCAAGTTTGTATTTCAGAAGGAGCTTTCTTATCGCTTAAAGAATAGAAAGCAAGCAGCAATTCAATGTACTCTGTTCTGTGCTGGTAGAATCTAGGAAGGGAAAGCAGCAGAGGCGGTAGCCTAACTGTCCACAAGCCTTTGATGCTACTCCATGTTGGCCATAGCATAGTTTTGGCCAACATTTATCAACTGAAATATTTTAGGAATAAAAAAAATACCTCTTACTCATCTTGAAAAGAGTTGTAAGTCCTGGCAATACCGGGCCTTGAGTCCTGTGTGGCATGGTAGCTGTCAGGTGCAGAGATGGTGGCTGCCCCTCTGGAGGGGGGCAGCCTCTGTCCCCACGATCTCTAGTGGCTTCAAGAGGTGGAGTGGCAAGATGCCATTTTTTGTGAGTGTGCAGCTATTTTTCTTTGATTATAATAATAGGAATTTGAAGTATTTCTAATGCCTTTGTCCACTGTCTATCTTATTCTTTTTTCTTTGCCTCTGTGGTGCTTTACTTATTTCTATGACTTGCCTGGCTTCTGTTGGTATTTGAATTTCAGAGCCCTGATTTAATTCACAGCCAGGAATTTAATTCATGGTTATATAGTGATGATCTTATCATCCCCTTTTACTCCTAATTTTTTCTGTTTTTCATCCAATAAAGAAAGATGGATGTTGACACATATCTTCCAAGCCCCCAGTTGAGAGCCACTGTTTAGAAGAGTGGACTTGGTTCCAGGCTTCACTTTCATTGACGTTATCTTACAAGTATCCGGTTCATTAAGGGGATTGTGTCCACTCTGCAGATGAGATGATCAAGGGACAGCAAGTTTAGATAACTCATCCTAGC